GTGAGTGAGTGAGTGAGTGAGTGAGTGAGTGAGTGAGTGAGTGAGTGAGTGAGAGAGTGAGTGAGTGAGTGAGTGAGTGAGTGAGTGAGTGAGTGAGTGAGTGAGTGAGTGAGTGAGTGAGTGAGTGAGTGCGTGAGTGAGTGAGAGTGAGTGAGTCAGTGAGTCAGTGAGTCAGTGAGCCAGTGAGTGAGTGAGTGAGTGAGTGAGTGAGTGAGTGAGTGAGTGAGTGAGTGAGTGAGTGAGTGAGTGAGTCAGTGAGTCAGTGAGTCAGTGAGTCAGTGAGTCAGTGAGTCAGTGAGTCAGTGAGTCAGTGAGTCAGTGAGCCAGTGAGTCAGTGAGTCAGTGAGTCAGTGAGTCAGTGAGTCAGTGAGTCAGTGAGTCAGTGAGTGAGTGAGTGAGTGAGTGAGTGAGTGAGTGAGTGAGTGAGTGAGTGAGCGAGCGAGTGAGTGAGTGAGTCAGTGAGTCAGTGAGTCAGTGAGTCAGTGAGTCAGTGAGTCAGTGAGTGAGTGAGTGAGAGTGAGTGAGTGAGTGAGAGTGACTGAGTGAGAGTGAGTGAGTGAGTGTGAGTGAGTGTGCGTGCGTGAGTGAGTCAGTGAGTGAGTGAGTGAGTGAGTGAGTGATTGAGTGAGTGAGTGAGAGAGAGAGAGAGTGAGTCAGTGACAGTGAGTGAGTGAGAATGAGTGAGACTGAGTGAGACTGAGTGAGAGATTGAGTGAGAGAGTGAGTGAGAGAGTGAGTGAGAGTGAGTGAGCGAGTGCGTGAGAGTGAGTGAGAGAGACAAAGTCCCCCAGGTATCCGCCAAACTTGATTAGAAACTGCTGAGCATCTTGACGGAACCTCATATGGAACCCTGGAAATGGCCGAGTTCCTTTGCTTGCCCTGCGACCCAAACCCGAAAAGGGTAGACACTGAAACAAAGAAACACACTCACGTGAGTTTACGAGCGTAATTGCGCGGAAGGCGGCTCATGCTCTGAGATCTGGCGGCTTCGATTGGCCATTGCGGATAGTTTAACCGACGGGTAGAATGCTCTCTTTTTTTCTCTCTCTTTCTCTCTCTCTCTCTCTCTCTCTCTCTCTCTCTCTCTCTCTCGCTATAAGCAAGAAGCGAACCACGTTCGGTTCACGAGACTTGTTGTTCAATCCCCTTCAGCAACACGTATAGCCACCTCACTTAGATTGCTGCACAATCATTCAGGCCGTCCTTTAGCTGTCGAGGATTGAAACAACACGAGACGCCTGTCTTCGCAGTTGCACGCAGTGCCATGGTCACCAAGCAAAATGCTCATCAGGACTTGAATGGCCCCCTTTACACATGCGGGGTACCCTTTTCAGGTTGGTTTAAAGGGAACATGGAAACCACTATGTTGGGTTCAAATCCAAATGTTTGGCACATGCCCACAGTCCAGGCAGCACTCCCCTCGAGAATCCCCGAATTCCCCGAAAGCCCTGGAAGCCGCACCCTGCGCCAAGACCCTCAGCAATCCCAAGAGACTCGCAGACCACTAAAGGAAGAAAGGTGGCGACCCTCCCCGCCACTGCAAGGGGTTCCTTTTTATGTTGACGGTTTCACTCTAGAATAGGGGGTGACTCCCAACCCCCAAAAGTGATTTGGAGGGGGATGTGTCAACTGGGGGTTGATCAAGGGATTAGTTCCCGTTTATTCCCCAATTCGGCGCTAGATAGGTGGTCTGAAAAAATAGAAAAATGACCTGTCCCCTTTGGCTTCCATTAGGCAAATTTACACTTATGGGCGACCCAGCAAAGAAATGAGGCACTTGTGTCCCCAACTTACACTCAATTTTGGTTTTCAACCCGCATTTCCCGCTGTTAATTTGGGTCGTGTGCCCTATGGCATCCCCTTTACAACCGTAGATGTCAGCAAACATGGGATCCCTCAAATGGCTGGTTCCTGTTGGTGTCCCTTCTTCTTCTTCTTCTTCTTCTTCTTCTTCTTCTTCTTCGTCTTCTTCGTCTTCTCCTTCTCCTTCTCCTTCTCCTTCTCCTTCTTCTTCTTCTTCTTCTTCTTCCTTTTCTTCTCGTTCTTCCTCTTCCTCTTCCTCTTCCTCTTCCTCTTCCTCTTCCTCTTCCTCTTCCTCTTCCTCTTCCTCTTCCTCTTCCTCTTCCTCTTCCTCTTCCTCTTCCTCTTCCTCTTCCTCTTCCTCTTCCTCTTCCTCTTCCTCTTCCTCTTCCTCTTCCTCTCCCTCTTCCTCTTCCTCTTCTTCCTCTTCCTCTTCTTCTTCTTCTTCTTCCTCTTCTTCTTCTTCTTCTTCTTTTTCATTTTCTTCTTCTTCTTCTTCCTGCTCCTCCTCTTCTTCTTGCCCATTCTGAAACGAATGCATCACTCGAAGCAGAAAGGCAAGCAAGAGTCACATCCAAAATTGTCGTCAAATCCAAGAAGAAAAAGGACCGGTCTCGACAAAAGGTGGCAAACCCCGCTTAGCAACTGACCCCTTTTCAGGAGCCCGGCTTCGCCTCCGTCGAAGCCGGGCACCGGCAGCATCAATCGGTCCTGGCGGCCAGGACCCGCTCCGCCCCCAAAGGTGAAAAGGGCTCCTCAAATAGAGCTCTCTTCAAAACCATCCAACCTTGAAAGCGTGAATACAAGAACAGCCAGACTTGAACACCTTACCAAAAAAGGAAAGCTAATAAACAAAAAGGAGACATCCCCTTAAAAAGAAAAATGAAAAAGCAGCCGGGTGTCCTTTTTGCATCCCCGGCCTCCAGGGACACCAACAACAACGCCAGGGCTCCCGTCTCGAAGGCCTGGCGCCGGATCTCTTTTTCCCCCCGAACGCTTCTCTCTGCGTTTCTCCTTTTGGGGGCCGTTTCATGGGGGCTGGGGGGGTGGGAGGGGAGGGGGGGGGAACCCAAAAAATATAAATTCAGTCGTTTCTACGGTTTATTTGGGCTCCCTCCCCCTCCCCTCCCTCCCCCCCAGCCCCTACAACCGTTGAACCTACCGTTCATCTGTATGTTACCACCAGCTGGTGCAAAAGGGATGTTTCTCCTTTAGGGGCTTTGTTCTTGATAACGTCCCATCCAAAGCACCAGCTTCCCAACCGTTACCCCCCCTTCCACCAACAGAAGGTACCTGTGGGAGGGTATTCTGGAAGATCATCTTCCTCTTGCCCTGTCACGTTAAACCTTTTTCAGCTTCAATGTTGGTGGCATCCCAAACCAAACCACCAGCTTCCCCCTAATGTTAACACCCGATTAATCAGGGGTCGTTGAATAAATAAATGGATTTTTCCTTATTCTGGTTCGCCCCCATTGTTGATGGGGGACCAGAATAACTGAAAGTTGTCTTGCCCGTGGGGGGAAAATTAAAAAAATATCCACAAAACAATTTCAATTGGTGGCCCACTTGCTTAAAAGCATTCCCCTTTGAATTGGTTGCTCAAACACAAAACCCAAAGCCAGCTGAAACCTCTGAAATTTGAAAGCCATCCCCAGCCCTGAATCTGCAAATTATTTATTAAACCGTGTTAAAAAGATGCAAACAACAATCAGCACAAGGGTACCCGGGTACCCCTCACTGAGACCCCACTGAACCACAACAATGGCAGTCTTTTGGGGGACCACATTAGTTTGCAAGCCCCCAGCCCCCCCTCCCAGAAAATAAACTATCAGTTGCTTTACTCAAAAGCATTCCACTTTCAATTGGTGGCCCACTTGCTTACAAGCATTCCCCTTTCAATTGGTGGCCCACTTGCTTAAAAGCATTCCCCTTTCAATTGGTGCCCCACTTGCTTAAAAGCATTCCCCTTTCAATTGGTGGCTCACTTGCTTAAAAGCATTCCCCTTTGAATTGGTGGCCCACTTGCTTAAAAGCATTCCCCTTTGAATTGGTTGCTCAAACACAAAACCCAAAGCCAGCTGAAACCTCTGAAACTTGAAAGCAATCCCCAGCCCTGAAACGGCATTTTTTTATTGAACCGTGTTAAAAAGATGCAAATAACAATCAGGACAAGGGTACCCCTCACAGACCCCACTGAACCACAACAATGGCATTCTTTTGGGGGACCACATTAGTCTGCAAGCCCCCAGACCCCCTCCCAGAAAATACACTATCAGTTGCTTTACTCAAAAGCATTCCACTTTCAATTGGTGGCCCACTTGCTTACAAGCATTCCCCTTGCTTAAAAGCATTCCCCTTTGAATTGGTGGCCCGCTTGCTTAAAAGCATTCCCCTTTCAATTGGTGGCCCACTTGCTTACAAGCATTCCCCTTGCTTAAAAGCATTCCCCTTTCAATTGGTGGCCCACTTGCTTACAAGCATTCCCCTTGCTTAAAAGCATTTCCCTTTGAATTGATGGCCCGCTTGCTTAAAAGCATTCCCCTTTCAATTGGTGGCCCACTTGCTTACAAGCATTCCCCTTGCTTAAAAGCATTCCCCTTTGAATTGGTGGCTAAGGCGCTTGCTTAAACAAGCATTCCCCTTTCCAATTGGTGCCCCCTTCTTACAAGGCTTCCCCTTAGCTTAAAAGCATTCCCTTGAATTGGTGGCCCGTTGCTAAAAAGCATTCCCCTTTCCAATTGTGCCCACTTGGCTTACAAGCATTTCCCCTTGCTTAAAAGCATTCCCCATTTGAATTGGTTGGCCCGCTTGCTTAAAAGCATTCCCCTTTCAATTGTGGCCCACTTTGCTACAAGGATTCGCGCCCTGCCTTAAAAGCATTCCCATATTGAATTGGTGGCTCCGCTTGCTTAAAGCATTCCCCATTCAGAATTGGTGGCCCCACGTATGCTTACAAGCAGTTCCCTTGCTAAAAGCATTCCCCTTTGAATTGGTGGCCCGCTTGCTTAAAAGCATTCCCCTTTCAATTGGTGGCCCACTTGCTTACAAGCATTCCCCTTGCTTAAAAGCATTCCCCTTTGAATTGGTGGCCCGCGTGCTTAAAAGCATTCCCCTTTCAATTGGTGGCCCACTTGCTTACAAGCATTCCCCTTGCTTAA